ACTACAAATAATTTAATAATTATATAATTCGTAAACATTTTTAAATATTATACAATAGCCGAAATTTAGTAAAACTGTTACATAAGTGCCATTAATAGTGCACGTTTGTGCATTGAGCGCAATTCTGCGCACGCGCAGCCGGCAAGGTCCATGAAGGCCGCCGCGGTGAAAGCATGAAGTGACGTCACACAGAGATTTATCTCGTAGTTTTTGTCTTACCATTGTCTATTACGATATTAATATAATAAAAATAATATATATAGCTTCTATATATTTTGCACGAAGTCGAATAGTTCATTGTATTTTTATATCGTTGAGTCTTAACTCCAATACAATTTCTCTTGTTTTTTTTCTTCCTATCATCGTATCAGGAACTGGAATATTGTTTATTATTTATTCGACTTCACTCTAGGATGGTTATATTTAATAACTTTCTATTGAATATAGTTCTCTTTAATTCTTTATCAATATAATTTAAAGAACGAACATTTGTTTTTCAACGTCCCACATTTTATTGTTGCATCATAACAACGTTTTAGAAGTGAAATAAAGAGGTTTATGTATGATATATATTTGATATGATATAAAAGTTTAAAACTAGTTCATAACCTTTATTAATGTTACATATGTATAATGCTTACTCCACAGCACAATCAGAAAATCCTTATGGCATTATAGTGTTTGTTAATTATCGCCTACTTATCGATGCAATAAAATTAATGTCTATCTATTTCAGTTGGCCATGAAGCTGATATACGATGGCATTGTGTGAGAAAACTTTCAACTATACCTACTCTTATAACTGAGACACGTGAAATTCAAATAAAATGTTTTTTCTCCTAATGCGTCTTATTTTTAAAAGTTAAGGGATTTTATGGAAGCTTACCCAGAAACTCTGAATTTACAATCCTCAGTAGTTAGAGCACGATTAAGAAGAAGAAAGTGATTTTAAGAAGAACTGTATTAAAATTTAGTATACTATATATCGTGAAAGTCTTATTTCCTAACAGTATACATGGAATATAATGTACAAAACTAATTCAAGGTTGTACGTCACAGTTTTTTTAGCCAATCTTTTGCGGAAAGTTTTCTTTTTATATCTTTATCTGAACGTTTTCTATCTCAACCATCTCCGTATCTTTAGCTCCATTTGTTTATTTCCTCACAGATTGTCGCTGATATTAATATCTCATGAGATAAATCATCTCCGTCATTGTTTCTGATATCGAGGTTTGATCGCGCCTCTTATGATAATTTCTCTTTGTTTGATATATACTTCTTATATACTCTAGTATATAATTCTCATTTACATACAGATTTTATATTCACATAATTGCTATAGGAAACTCTACCGTAATGGCCCTTAGACAATTTGTTGCATAAAAGTGGCAATTATTTGTTGTACTTCAAAGTGATTTAGAGTCCAGCAGCACCGTGACATATTACAAGTTACCAGGAAATTATGTTTTGATTTATGAACACATTGTATTTAAAACGACACAACGACAAGCTAAACTTTTTACATTAACTTCTACGCTATTAGTACGACTTGAACCTATTCCAAACAAACTCCATATTGGTATTAAATTAATTTGGATTATGTCCAAAATGATCTTGGTTTCGTTGCAAAAATAATGTTGAAACACTATTTCCTCGAGGTTGTAAAGCAGCGCGGATGTCGTTAAGACAGAATGCACGATAGATTAAACTACTGTGTGGTGGATATCCCGCTTCACTTGATATACATTACGTGCGAGTTACAGTCAATTTAATTGACATCTGTTCATTTGGCACATTTCAATATTAAATTAATCTAAACAACAAAAAAAATAATACATGAATATGTTCATATATTTATATAAAATCATGGACATTTACTAACTTTATATTAGTTGGAATACGTATCTAAAGTTTTGCATGTCAAAATTGGTCGACCACTTGAGATTATTATGAAAATAACATTTTAAAATTATATGTAAACTCGTCAGTAGTATGTATTATATTTATAGTTCTGATGAAGAAATTTCGAGAGCTTTATTAACTAAATATACAATTATTATTACTTTTTATTTCATTCCATTTATCTGATAGTAAGTTGACTCAAATGAGTAAAATATAAATCTATACTACAAATACATATAGATCTTTAGTCGTCCGATATTATCGAAAAATTGCATTTCATTAAAAATAGTATAAGCACTATAAACAAGACATTTAATAAGTAAAGTATTAATCTCGCTGAATGCCACGACTCATGTTTGTATGTTGGCCAACGTTTGCCCAACCGTGATCACAATTCGCCGTCTCCCGCGCTCATTACAATGGCGATCAATTTTCGATATGTCATATATCATTGTTTTGTTTACAATTGATAGTATTTATCGTAACAAGAATCAGTTCGGATGTAAGTCTGTCCGTTGTAACTTAAGTTGGGAAATGATAACCGATCAGCGAATTACCTGTTGCCAATACTGTACAAGATATAACTGTAGTTTTTTATCTTAGACTCGTTACAAAAATCACAAATTCTGTGAAGCACCATAGAAACTCGTTTGAAACCTTCATATTTCTGACTAGATGCGCCCGCGCTGAGTTCGGTTATATCGCGTTTCCAAGAGAACTTATCAAAAGTTTGGGATAAAAACTATCCTATGTTCTTCCTGAAGGTCAAGTCTATCTCTGTACCAAATTTCATTAAAATCAATTCAGTGGTTTAGGCGTGAAAGCGTAACAAACAAACAGAGTTACTTTCGCATGTATAATATTAGTATGGATGTAGTAGATAAAGCCGCAGCTTTATTGAATCAACATCGTTATTCATAAACTTAAGTGCGATGTTGTTAAGAAAATTTAAACATCACTTCAGGGACTGGCTGTTAGCTGTAATCCGAACATAAATATCAAATAGAAACCGAAGAAAGGTGCTACACTGTTATGAAATGTAAATTATTGAGGTCCAAGACGCACGCGAATTATACATAAAGATATTCGTATAATAGGGATATTATAAAAATTTGAAAATGTATATAAATAATAAATGTTGAAACAGGTGCATTAAAATGTTCTAGATTCTAAGTATTCGTGTTGGGCTATATTGAAATCAGACATACCGGTGCAGATAGTGGGCGAACGAGTTTCGGCAACAGATATTATATACAGTGTTATTGTTAAGTGAGATATGTCAGCACATTATCATGTCAATGCCAATAATGTTCGGCTGATAATAATGTACAAGGAAGTTAACAGGTCTGAATGAATATATTTGAATTATATAAATATATAACCACCTTAGTTTAACAATAAATAAAAGAATATAAGATGCAAACAGGTTCAGATTCTCATTAAATTTGATTGAAATGAAGCATCCGTCACCCGCAATGAGAGATTTCAATTATGCGCCATTGTGGTTATAAACGACAAGCCCTTTTATATCGAAGAAAGTAAAAGATATTCATAACCAGTTCCCAAAAATGCAGTTCCGCTACGGATTGAGTTTAATATGTAGATCGTAATGAATATTTTAAAAGAAATTTCTTACTACAAATATAAAAATGAAACGAATTGGACTTTTACAATGTATATAAATTGAGAGTTAGTGAAGATTATGTACGGATTATTTCATTTGGCAGAACTCCCGTTACAAGTTCAACTCAATAAAGACAGAACGCTGACGAGCCACAAATAATTCACGAAAAGAACGAACAATGAATGGAGTGAACGATGATTTATAATGTCGCAGTTTAAAAATACAAGACGCGAGGTCGTGAACTTTAAAACGAGATTTATTTGGAAACTCGTCATGCGAGTACAAGTATCCGCAAGATTCGTTAAACCATTTTCAAACTGTTTCCCTCAGTCAACGGGACAATATATTTGTACAACAAATATTTCACTTTAGTGCTGTCATGTTGAGTTCATTGTTTGTTCATGTCAACGATTCGCGGGAAAATTTCACAGACAACAAAACATGGCGTCAAATAAATCTTTTCTGAGATCTAAGATTTTCGCGAGTACTCATTTAAATGAAACTAATATTTTCGGATTTTACTTCGGCAGACGAGATGTGAGTGTGCCCGTGATGACGGTTGCTGAAAAGTAGCCGAAACGTCGAGAGTATGTAGTTAATAATCAAAAATAAAACGCGAAGTAAAATCCGAAAATATTAGTTTCATTTAAATCTTTTCTATTGATATAATATGATACGAGGTATATATGTAATGTTATCCTTAAAGGCCGTTCGTAATAAGTTGAATTTAAACATGAATGAGTTATATTCGAGATGAAAAAGGACCGCTAAATGATAATATCATTGTTGTTAGTGGTGGACGTCCTTGCAAGGTTGTAGGCTTGTGGGCCGCGCGTAGGATTATAACTAAAGGATTCCGTTCGGGCCGTGGGAATGTAGGGATTATAGTCAAAGAAACCTTGATAATTTCATTGATTTTAGATGAAAAAAATCGCATTTAATTCTCCATATGACAACACAATATTGTTCAAAACAATTTTTTTTTTAACGTATAAATTTACCATGTCAAATTATTGAGTCATTGCAAATCGTTCTACGCCCCTCGTAGTTATCCTTTTTTTCGTAAACCCCAAAAGTACGCAGGAAGTCCATACAGGCATTCAAAATAGAAAATTAAGGCTGTATCTCCATTGTCTCAGAGGGTTACGTCAAATACTCCTCTAATACATTATATATACATTACGAGTATAGACACATAAGGGCTAAAGATACATATTCAAATACGGATAATATTACTTATCTTCCTCTTGTTCAACGATGAATACACACTTTCTTTGTGAGGTATGTATGTCTATATACACCATTAATAATATAGATCAACAAAAACTATGAATATATATATAATATAAAGTACATATATTTCACAAAAATAAACCACGTAATATATCCGAAAATCATTAGTTTCATTGAATAAAACTCGCGACAATCTTAGATCTTATATTAAAGCTATCAATATGATTTATAATAAACTTACCCAGGCCGCATATGAGATAAGTCGGAGGCGGTTTCAGTACGGATCTAGAGTATGCCCCTCGGACCGTCTCGAGGGCCCTCGGAGCTCCTCCTACTAGTAGAACCCCCGGGGCCACGTAACCAGCATATCGAAGTTCTGCCGTCGCAGCTGCTAAAGCGCCAGCCCACCAACATTTCGCGTTCGCAGCCAGAAAACTCTGTGAAATATAAGATTAATTTTAATTTATAATATTACTACATATGTATACACTTTATATATGTATATATTTGTCTGTACAGCAATAATGTTACTGTTATAAGTATAATTATTACGAAATCGACAGTGATTGAACAACTTGTAATACTTTTAGAGCGATTGTTTTAGGGAACAAGAAGCATATGTTTATGAATTATAATCTGTCCTCCTTATATATATCACATGGAACTTGTCCAAAAAAATATAACTATAGTATTGTATAATTTAATACGTAATAATCTAGGTTTTATATATTAAGATCTATTGCTATTTAAATAGTTCTATTCATACTGTAATCTTTAAATTAAATAATAAGCAGTATAACTTCAATAAAATTAACAAAACGGTAGGTATATAAATTATTTTTACATCCAATACTTCTGCGTCTCTTGGATAGTAACAAAAACTTTTTGCGTGTTAATTGATATCTACAAGTAGGTATGTTTGATTTCAAATATTGTAATATCAGTTCTCACAACAAATAATTCTCGCAACCCAAATATATAAGTCACCTTGACATACAGTTGGTGTTTCACAACGGCACCTCACATCCTCGGCTTAACAAGTAACAGTTACCACATACAAGTAAACAGAACTAAGCCAATTACTTGGTAAATATCCCCCTTTGTAAATGTAAAATAAAGTACCGGACAACTTGAGGATTTAAATAAATGTTCTGGGAACTAAGCTTAACCAATTATTTTGTATGACCAAGATTCAACCCGGGATTGAAAGTGGACTTCAAATAGACCTGTGATTGGAATAAAAAATATCAAAACTACTTTTTTGTGTTCAAGCCATGTTGATCGACAAAAGAATTTTATTTATTTTTCTTCCTAGAGTATTAATTTTCTAAAAAACGTATGTCGTTTTACTTAAATAAAGATTCAATATGATTAAAAATCCTCTTAACTCAAACGATATAAAAAAATCATCATTGTAATATGTATAAGTTTAGAACTTATACCATTCATATTAAAACATTGTGATGCTGCATGTCGATAATATACAGTAAGAAAAAGTAAACGAATTTAAGACAACACTTGTATTGTGAGTTAAATGAGATGTCAAATAAATAAAGGCTTCAGGAGGTATAATTCTACAAAGTAATTTATATTTAGTTTGCGGTCACAAACCATTCAGTATGCGCATACATAGCAGTATGAAGTCATAACGTACAGGTCTCTATAAAACCATTGAACTCGTTTACATTTTTTGCCAAGGAATTAAGGTATCTATGTTTATTAGATAAAGGAAGAAAATCCCGGAAAGTTTTTTGGGTAATAAACATTACTATAGCTGTAAGATGTTCAAATCTTGATGTCATCAAACCAGCTAAGATGATGTCATATGTTTCTTTATTTGTGGAAGGTCGTTCACTTAATGATGAACATTAAAGTTATAAGAAAAAATACCTAATATAGTATTATTATTTATTAATAAAACACATCCGTAATCTTAGTTCAATTTATAAAACAATATTTTTAATCAGCCATAACATTGATTCGTATAAAAACCTTTAATACATGTCTGTATTGTCAAACTAAAAACGAAATAATTGCAGTTTTTTATGTATAGATCACCACAGAACTATTATAATAGTTTATGAATTATCACATGGAAACTGTAAACTCTATAGTTTGTCGATGGAAACGTTTGGTAAGGATACTGACTAGTATTAAGGTAACACGAGCCTAATTTAATGCCTAGGACATTCCTTGGCACTAAGTTGATAATAAATCAGGAAGCCTACAAGAATGTAACCTTACTTTATATGACAGAAGGAATGTCGATTATTTTAAGAAGGCAGTCTAAAACCTTACATATATAAAAAATGTAGTACAATTTATGAAGAATTATAATTTTCACAGCAAAAATGTAACAGAGGATCTAAATACTTTGAGCCATATTTAGAAATACTGTTTAAAACATTTTTTATTATATAGGCATGTTATGTTTATATAATAGTTAAATTTTTGAAATATTTTTTTTTACTTATATATTAGGCTATATATTTAGTTAATATGACGAAATATAAAATATCTTTCACAACATATTATTTCTCACATGCTTTATAACATTACATAAGATAAAAATCGGATAGTCTAACGAAGCCAAGAACATTTTATTCAATAATAAAACAAAAAGCCCTTCATTATGCGCATATGACTTTGTCGTAAAACCTGGAATTAAATCGACTCCCACGGGAACAGGCGCGCACCGTGACGTAGACAATGTGTGTTTGCTTATGGAGAAAAAACTCACAAACTCCCAACAGCGATAATAGAATCACCTTTCAGAGTTACACGCTTAATTAATTGTATTGTTATGTTATTATGCTGTAAAATTAAAAATGGCAAAGCTTTGTTTCAACTTTGTTTACTTTTACTGTACATTATAATTTGTATGCATATTAATATACTATTTCACAAATAAGGGGCACCCTTTTTACTATTGTATATGTTTATGAGTGAATTAAAAACACATATGTATATTGCAGTGATTATTTAAAGATTATATTTCAAAGCAATAAAAATAAACACGTTTCTAATCACTTCCAAGTAAAATGCAAATGAACCTGTTAAACAGTAACAATAAATAGTTATTAGAGACATAAACTACTGTATTTTTTTGTGAATTAAATTCTAATGTACACAATAATGTTAAGATCATTTCAATTATACATTCATTGTGACTACATAGATGCAATTGATAATAGTTTGTGACATTTACTAAACTATGATTATGATTTACGACGCTTCGTTCAGATTGTGCGCGGACCATTCAGATAATGTGGATTTATAGATGGCGCTGTTAACTATTTGACATTTTATTTGAATCACTCATAAAGGATATTAATATGTATATGTACTGCTTATTATTATTAGTCTACTAGAAGACCTGGCGAACTTCGTATTGCCCTATAATCAAGAAATATCTATTACGTTTTTTTAATTATATTTTTGGAGTTTACCTTTAAGCCATAAATCTCCGTGTTTTGAAGTGCGACAGAATGATTGACATATTAGTTAGTTGTCAAATCTAATGTCAAAAAAAACGTTTGTATGGGAAATAGAAAAGGGCTGTTTTTACGATTTTCCCGGTAGTGAATCAATTTTTTTCAGCTTTTATACCTTCCCTGAACCTCCACGAACATTTCAAGACTAAGATAAGATAAATCCGTTCAGCTGTTCTCGAGTTTTAGCGAGACTAAGGAACAGCAATCCATTTTTATATATAGAAGAAGATAGAAGATAGAAGATATATTTGACATCATACTTGTATATCACTAAGAACAATTTCATGATATGGATTTTTAATTATAATATTTATAAGTACTCTCTCAATTGTTAGTATGTAAAATCGATAACAATGAGATACTTAAGTCACTACATATATGTTTTAAATAAGAAATATATAATTCAAATCACAATTACTCCAACGGTATGTGCAAAGAAATTGTGTTAAAAAATATTGCGAAGGACACTCGCGCTCGTGAGAAAACGGAAACGCTACGTGCGAAATAATAAAACAATACGCAATTTACATAAAATCCCATTATTATTCAGGTGTTAAATAAACTGCAGTCTGGGAACTATCGGTACGGATCAGCCGAAAAAACAAAGTTACCGACTAAGTCGAATGCATACTATCGCTCAATCTTTTAACAGAAACAAACTAAAATTCCATTCAAATACTACAAAATTCGTGCTCGTTTTATACAAATAGAGTGTTTATTAGAACATTATTATATAACACTATATTATACATGAATTCATTTCACAATACTCATATCTCAAGTTACACAAAGTCACTTTAGTGAAATTAGAACTCTACAGTTTAACACCATGAATGAAGAGAAAGTAAATTCAATGAACGACTGTTGAATGGACAACAAACCTGTCAAAATATCTGACCATAAGCAGGTAAATGGTATTTAATTGATATTATATTTAGTTATTAGTTATTACAACCTGGTATTAGTGCGAACCGAACGGGAAATATGTGGCGTAACTTCTTTTGTTTACATACGAGTAGCTGGCATTTTTAGAGCTTTGAGTAGTCAAATTTGTGTAAGATAAATACATAGATAGTTTTCAAAGATATTATAAATATAGTTGTAGGATATATTTCACATTTAAAATTAAGTAATAAATAATATTTGATTGAAAGCTTTGGTTATGTTACAGCAATCGTGATTGTGGGCAGAGTGAGTGTCATGTACTCGCGAAAATGAATAAATTTTTAAAGGTCTGTAAATAAATAACTTAAGTTATTTGTCGTATATAGCGTGCATGGTTTTCTGTTTGAATGATAAACAAGTTAATTCAAATATCGTTATATCATACAAGTGAAGATTAATTATATGATTGAAAATTATAACTACTATAATAACGATTTCGAGAAACTACACTTAAATAAAAGAATTATTGAATCGTCAATGAAAAATATATATTTAATAAACTTGTATATTTTATTTTTTCGTTTCATTTGTCTTTCATAACTGGAAAAAATAAATGAAGAAAATTAAACATAAACATGCGTTGCGTTTCCATATTTTTGTCAAATCCTTACTTATTTTAAGCCTAGTCATTCTTGTTTAAAAAACTTCAGTTAAAAATCACTATTTACAATTGATATAATCTTGTACTGTTACATTAATTAAATCACAATACTGTACTATTTTTTGTACATATAAATGAATATAAACTATTATATAAGTTAGAGCGGTGAGTATTAAAAAACTAATTTCTCACAGTAATGTGATAGCCGGATGAGGAATAGTGTCTTTGATCTGCGGTTTTAAATCAACGTCCGTATTATGTACGTGGTCACATATAACACAATGAAAGTAACAATATATTACACTTATTATTCTCAAAGAGGGTTGATGTCAGGCAGGCGGCCGTAAAAACAATTAGCCAAAACTATTCACAACATGTAAGGCAGACCCTCGCTAAG